ATCATAGAGCATTTTTGGATACTTTATTAAAATTATTAAATTGTAATATAACAAATATTTCACATATAATAACTGTATAAAAATTGTTGTAGAAAGAAATACATTTTTTTATTGTATGTTACATATGAAAAACTAATTTTGTATTTCAATACGTTTTTTCATTAAATATGAATAATTCATATGATTAATTTCATTGATATCTTATTAATTTATTAGTCTTATTAATCCAGTAAGATTAGTAAGATAATCTTACTAATTAATCATACTAATTTAATAAAATTAATAAGATTAATCAATCTTATTGATTATAAAATTTCATTAATCTTATCAATTTTATGAATCTTATCAATCTTATCAATTTTATCAATCTTATCAATCTTATCAATTCTATCAGTCTTATCAGTCTTATCAGTCTTATCAATCTTATCAATTTTATCAGTCTTACAGTCTTATCAATCTTGTCAGTCTTATTAGTCTTATCAAACCTATCAGACTTATGAATCTTATCAATTTTATCAATCATATCAATTTTATCAATCTTATCAATCTTATCAATCTTATCAATCTTATCAATCTTATCAATCTTATCAATCTTATCAATCTTATCAGTCTTATCAATCCTATCCATCTTATCAATCCTATCAATTCTATCAATCCTATCGACCTTAATCTGATTTTACTACTCTGATTCTTACTAAGCTCATTAATATGATGACCTTACATCTTAATTATTCACTGTCAGCTAATTAGAAGCATAAAATATTTGATACTATAAATTCCATAGTGAGAATAAAGGTCACTAAGATAAATCTATGTCCAGAGAGGGATCAGCAATGAGATCAACGGATTGTAATGCGTGTCACGACGATTCTTAAATAAAAATCAGTCAGCGACATGCTGATGCATCATAATGAATCTCACCAATGCGAGCTAACAGTATTGGGTGTATAACTACACCGTTGACTTTACGAGAGGTGTGTCAACCTACATTGTTCAGGTTTCAAATTCTTTGCCTTTCTTTCCGGATCTGACACGTTAGAAATTCCAGAATCCATTTTGTAGTCGATTAATATAAAATTATATTATCAATATAAAATTTTCTTTGTTATAGAAATTGATAGTGTAAGTTTCAAATTTTCACTTACTCTCTGCACTTAATACTCTAAAAATTCAATGTTTCATTTTTTAAACACTTTAGTATCGCATCATTATCTTCCTGTTATTATAAAAAATTAATTATAGAAAAATTTATTACTTCGTTTAATTTAAGATTATTTTCCTTTCATTTATAAATTTGTCACACAAAGAATACCAAAACCCATCATTAGGCTAAATTTTTAATATGGTATTATATTCTCTTTACTATGAAAATTAATCTTCACAATTTATCCTTTTTTGGCAATTTTTGAAGCAATTTGATATTTTAGAAGTTTTAGATTTTATTTAAAAAATCACCTTTTTCTGGTAGTAATAAATAAATTTGATATTTAATAACTATACATAATTCTTTATGTTAAAAATTCATTTTGAATTTTCATATTTCATATGTGTTATAAAAATTCATTTTATATTTTCATATTTTATATGCAATATAAAGACTCATTTTATATTTTCATATTTTATATGTGATATTAAAATTCATTTTGAAATTTCATATTTTATAATCTATAATATAGATTATAAAATATATTATATTTTATATTCTATAAAAATTCATTCTACATTTTCATATTTTATATATAACATAAAAATTATTTTAAATTTTTCGTATTCTCGAGTTTTGCATTCTACTTCAAATAAGAAATGAATATGAATTAAAAAAATTACAAATTCAAATTTTTAGTTTGAATACTAGGAAATCACTAATTACAGTCTTGAAGTTATAATGTATTCATATAATTTAATTAATGCAGCTGAACCAAGTATGTTCTGAATTAACATAATCACTTAACTTCATCAGTCTTGCTGGTTCACCGTGGTTACCTTAATTACGAAATAAAACATGGTTTCTTAATTCACTTTTGTGCCAATTTCATGCTCGTTTTATTAACACGAAACAATGTTTACAAGAGGAAACGATGACCTGATTTTGGTCCAAAACATGTCCAGCCAAAAATATAAATAAATAAACGTGTCTTTAAAAAACTTGCAATCTCACGTATTTATATTTATATATACAAGTTTAAATAACACATTTTTTATTAATTTTTTTAATGGAAATTTGAAAAGAATTCTTTAAATTTTCTATTGCGTTTTCTATTAAAGTTTAAATTATTCAATGCATAATTTATTACAGCGAAAAATATATACTATACAAAATTATGCAGTAGGTATATTTGAAAAAACTTTGTGTCCAATGTTTGTAATATATGAGAGGAGATTTGAGTATTGAATTAAACTAAAATTAAAAAATAAATATTTCGTACTCGACAGACGAGTTAGTCAGGTTAATATAACAAGTATAATGCTATATATCTAGTATAATGCTATACAACTATAATGCTATATATCAAGCATTGAAATATAACAAAATAGGTGACAGTGAAAAATAATAATTTCAATAAACTTTAACAATTTCTTAAAAATAAAAAGAATTTAGGTTTCTGTTCCAATTATATGAAAAATATTTTCGAGTGCAAAAGTTTGGAGGAATATATTCAACATCAAAATGAAAGAAGAATATATCAAATATTAGAATTGAAGAAGAATATATCAAATATCAGAATAGAAGAAGAATATATCAAATATCAGAATTGAAGCAAAACATATCAAATATCAGATTTGAAGAAAAACGTATCAAATATCAGAATTGAAGCAGAACATATCAAATATCAGAGTTGAAGAAAAACATATCAGACATCAAAATTGCATACCAACATATTCATATCAAATATCAGAATTGAAATAGAATATATCAAATATCAAAGTTAAAACAGAATATATCAAATGAATAGAGAAAAGTATATCCATTATTCTCCGTCAATTTTTTATTTCACTGAACGGTACAAAAACAGTTATCTCTTTTTCCTTCCTGAAAGGAGTGAAATTTCTAGAGACAACCGTTTACAGCGAAAGAAACGTAAAATCGAAGCGATGTCTTTTCTTGCTTCCTTTGTCATGGGTATATAAAATCATGCCGAAACGACGATTCGTTGCGAAATCATTTCGATCGCATTACGACATTGTACAATAGGTACCGTGCAATTTCGCTCTCGCCAGGAGATCGCAATTGCACAATTTTCGTCGCGCCAGACGAGACATTCGGGCGGACCTAGAAAGCGTCTAAGAAATGCTAATACAGCCAAGTTACTAGTCACTTCTGTTATCTGAATGTAGTAACTATACGAATGTACTAGCTATGGGTCTTCTGAAACCTTGGAACCCTTTCAAACACAGAAAAATTTCGAGTTTCGAGAATTTGTTCTTCAAACATAAGAAAATTACGAATTTCGACAATTCCGCTTCTAAATATAAGAAAATTTCGAATTCTTGAAAATTTCCTCCTCAAACATATGAGAATTTTAAATTTCGACAATTTCTCTTTCAAACATAAGAAAATTTTGAATTTCAAGAATTTCCCTTTCAAATATAAGAAAATTTTGAATTTCGACAATTCCTCTCCCAAATATAAGAAAATTTCGAATTTCGACAATTTTCTACTTTACACATAAGAAAATATCAAATTTCGAGAATTACCCCTTCAAACATATGAAAATTTCTATCTTTTTCTGCGGTTCAAAAGTTTTCATCTTTTTCGACAATTTGAAGCTTTGTGCTTTTTTTTGTGATACGAAACCTTGTACCCTTTTTGTGGTTCGAAACCTTGTATCTGTTTCGTGATTCGAAACTTTCGAAATCTCGATATAAAAACATATAAAGTCAATGAGTAAAGAATCGTTTGCAACAAGCCTAAAGAATATTTGATTCGTCTATTGTTATATATCAGGAATATTCTATATTGTGGTATTGATTGTCATATTACTTCTTATGAATACTAGTGTACGAGTGCTTCAATGATATCTTGAAATACTTATACCCTAAATCTTTAAATTTATAAATCCCCCAATTTCTCAATTCCTAAATCTCCAAATTTTCAAATTCCCAAATTTGCAAATTAAAAAATTTCAAAATTTTCACAATTTACAAAACCTTAAATATCTACATTCCTAAATCCACAAATATCCATGTATCAAAATACTCAAATCAACAAATCATCTAGTTTTTAAATATATATGTTTCCACATTTGTAAATTTCCAGATTTCTTAAATTTTCAAAACTGCTAATCCCCATATCCCTAAAACTCCAAATCTCCATGTCCTTAAACCTCCAAATCCCCATATTCCTAAACCTCCAAATCTTCAAATCCCCATATCTCCATATCCTCATATCACAAAACCTCCAAATCCCCATATTCCTATATCTCCAAATCTCCAAATCTCCAAATCCCCATATCCCCAAATCCCCATATCCCCAAATCCCCAAATCCCCATATCCCTAAATCCCCATATCCCCAAATCCCCATATTCCCATATCCCCATATCCCCATATCCCCAAATCCCCATATCCTCAAATCCCCATATCCCCAAATCCCCAAATCCCCATATCCCCATATTCCCATATCTCTAAACCTTCAAATCTCCAAATCCCCATATCCCTAAACCTTCAAATCTCCAAATCTCCAAATCCTCAGATCCCTAAACCTCCATATTTCCAAATCTCCAAATCCTCATGTCCCTAAACTTCCAAATCCCCAAATCCCTAAAACCATATTCCTGCAAATCCCCAATTTTCCAAATCCTCAAATCTTCAAATCTTCAAATCTCTAAATTCCCTAAATCACCAAAATCTACAAATCCTCAAATTTCCAAATCTTGAAATCGCTAAATTTTTAAATTCCCAAATATACCTACTCATATACACAATAAACCCAACCATATATGCAATCGTACCTTGACAAGAAACGAAAATATTAGTTAAACGATGTGCATTCATGTTCCAGCGGTCACGGTACGAGGATGAACAATTACGAAGATCGCAGAAGGCCGCGGACAGGTGGTTCGAAGAAGCCGAGGACTGCGTTCGTCGTAGGAAATGACCATGACGAGCGTGGCTGTCGCCCCGGGTAGCCTCGGTGCACCACCATCTATGCTCACCCCGAAGATGTATCATTTACAGCAGGGGTTAAATTCAACATCGGCCTCACCCACTCCAGGAAAAGTACGTCTTATAACCACATTACATTACCGAACATAATAAGGCTCCTAAAATTCGTTTATACACTAAAGACCATTTAATTTGACTTGATTTGACCGCCTTTTGATTTGAAATTTTGAGGGTACAATGATAAAAAGAACAATTTACCAGAATTATGAGATTGCTAACCAGGAGAACTGTCTAAGTGTTACCTCCAAAATGGAGTATATTCAATTAGATATTCTTTAAGATGACAGAATTTCTTAAATGAAAGAAGGTAACGTTTGGTGAGTTACCCTGGTTACTGAACGTAGTGAAGCTTCTGTGACGATTCGATCTGTATTTGTTCGTTCATCTGCTTGTTTATCTGTACGCTTCAGTCCGCCATTTTGGGGCTTCCGACTTGAAATTTTGAGGGTAGACTCGTGAGATACCCTAAATTTGCTGTATAGATTTTGCCGGCGATCTGACGACAGGAACCTGTCATCATCGACGTCAATCGAATCGATAAAAAACCGTTTGATATTGTTTTCGATAATTTTTCTCACATAGAGTCGATTGCGACCACATTGAAAGCTCTATAACTTATCGTTGACGACAGTATTGGTCGTCATTGACGTCAGTCGTCGTGACATCAACAATAATCGTGTTTGGTATCGTTTTCGATAGTTTCTGACATATTTAATCGTTTTCAACGACTTTAAAATACCTATATTTAATTCTTGTCTACCTATACAGTAGATACTTTAAATTTTAAATACACATTTGAATTCGTATGAGACATCTGACCCACCAGTATATATAATTAAGTACATTAGAATGCAAAATTAGAACACTTGTCATCATACACTTTGAAAAATTAACCAGATTGAAATTTTTAAAAACATGGATGCCAAAAAATATTTTCATGGAACACTTAGATTGTTACTAAAACTTCATTACAAGTCACTACATAGAGTTTTATTAAATTAAAAATTGCATCTTATTACATAAAAAATGGTTAAATAAAAAATAATTTAACATGTACCGAAAAGTTATGTTAAAACTTAAAAAAGTTATGTAAAATATTTTGAATCTTGTTACATTGAGATGCAGCTAAATATTTGGAATTTATTGTATTTGACGAAATACCAAGGTGTGCGATATTTATCCTGGTTTTGCATAATCGTTCGCTTATTTAATTCAATTAATTACGTAAACTCCATCAAGAGTCGCGTTTCACGTTTGAACACGAAATAAACGTGACTCGAATTTATGAACAGGAGTTAAGGACGTATACGTTTTGATAAAAACTGTGCAGAGAAAGTTCGCACAGACGGATTGATAATTACAATTCGTGACCGGCCCCTTGCGTAACGGTATAGCATATATACATACAAATATACATATGTAATAACAGTATCTACGTTTCCATAGATCTTCTCGTGTATCGTTGAGTTTTCCTTGTCGATTACTTCCAACACGTACCGAAATGTAAATAAGATAGTAGGTCAATAGGATCTTTCGTGCATAATAATTAACTTCAATTTTCTTCTAACTGTATTTTCTTCGGGACTGCCATTTGTAAATGTATTTATCATACTTACTGTGGATCTTATAATGTAAAGTAATCATGTGTAATACGGAACTGCTTATTTCAAGATCTTGCCACAAATTGATGTATGGTTTTTGTACTCGGAATTAATATAAGATTAGAACAAAATTAATTTGTATGTCGCCATTTGTATATAGGATGATCGACAGTAGATTTTGCAGGAAACAAGATTGAAAATTTAGAAGGAATTTTGTTTATCTAATGTTTATTGAAAAAATTCGAAACCTTGTAGAAATATAACAAAACTAATTTGTCTATCGACATTTGTATGCAGGATGATCGACAGTGAATATTGCAGGAAAGAAAGTAGAAAATTTAGAAGGAATTTTGTTTATCTAATATTTTTTGGAAATATTCGAAACCTTGTAGAAATATAACAAAATTAATTCGTATATCGGCATTTGTATACCAAAATGATCGACAGTGGATTTTGCACGAAAGAAAGTTGATTTAGAAGGAATTTTGTTCATACACTTTTTGAAAAAGTTCTATTAGAAAATTTGTGCAAATATTTGTAAAATTTGTTTAGTAACACAATAATTTTGTGTAAATGAATGACTTTCGTAGTCATAGGGTTAAATAGAACCACATTTTATAACGGTGTAGAAAATATCTAAACAAGTTCAGCAGCTACCGGAAATATTACTTTCACTTATGTTTAATATCACATTTAAAATATTACTTAAGATATCATTATACTTGAATGATATTGACCTGTTGATAGCTAGTTTAATTTCTAAAAACATTTTGTCACCGACGTTTAAAAAGTTATATAATTGAATAATTAGTAGTCTTTGAGCAGAAATAGAAATCTTTGTATTACCATAAGGAAGTAAATTAAGTATTGTCTCCTTCAAAAAATTTCTATTTTCACATACTTGAACGTTCAGTTTTGAAAAACTTGATCTGAAACTTGATTTGAACTTTACAAACTTGAGAATTTTAGAAATGTAGTATTCAAATTTTCAGATTTTGAAGCATTTCAATTTGTAAATTTCTAAATGTTTAAATTTCTGAATTTTTGTATTTTTACATCTATGAAGCAAGTTCTTAAATTCTTAAATTCTTGAATTTCCAAATGACCAAGTTTTCATATTCTAGAATATAGAAATATGTACTTATGTTTTCGAATTCGTAAGTATAAAATTAAGAAATTGCTTGAATTCTTTTCGCACATTTTTAAATTCCTAAATTAGCAAATTGCTAAGCTCTCAAATTTCCGAATTTCTAAATTACCAAAATTCCAAATTCCCAAATTCCCAAATTACCAAACTCCCAAATTCCCAAATTTCCAAATTCGCAAGGTCTCAAGGTCCCAAATTACCAAACTCCCAAACCCCCAAATTCTCAAATTCCCAAATTCCCAAATTCCCAAATTCTCAAACTCCCAAACTCCCAAACTCCTAAACTCCCAAACTTCTAAATTTCCAAATTCCCAAGGTCCCAAAGTCCCAAATTACCAAACCCCATATTCCCAAATTCCCAAATTAGCAAAGTCCCAAACTCTCAAATGACTAAACTTCCAAATCCCCAAATTACCAAACCCCAAATTCCCAAATTCCCAAACTAGCAAAATCCCAAACTCTCAAATGACTAAACTTCCAAATCCCCAAATTACCAAACCCCAAATTCCCAAATTAGCAAAATCCCAAACTCTCAAACTCCCAAACTCCCAAACTCCTAAATTCCTAAACTCCCAAACCACCAAACTCTCAAATTCCCAAATTTCCTTAAACATGATCATCAATATTCTTTCACACACAAACATCAAAATAAAAATATTCCCTTATCACATATTTCTCCCAGACCATCTCGATTACTCCTAACAGAAGTATCTTCCTTCTAACTACTAATAATTTCAGTGTTAATTCAGTGAATGTAATTTAAAGTAATTCCGCTATGCACAAGTCAAGTGCTCTTCAAGATGACTCTATATCGAAACTCTTGAAACACGAAACGTGTGAGCAAGGACGTAGCAGCTCTTCCGATGATGTAAGAGCATTCGCGTACTACGCGATTTTATTCGTCCAGCTCTCTCACAAAGGCCTGGCTCCGGTTTTACCTTAAAACCTGACCTCGTCGGTGACATCGAATACCCCGCTGTTTTCTGCGAAAGGGTTGTGCTCAGGTGGACACTGCTCTTGTCTCTCAGTTCCTTTCGTTAAAATCGTCGGGTAAAACGTGCCCGGTGTACAACGTACGTCTTGTTCTCGTTCGATTCTGTAGTTTCCTTGTGGTCGAAGTTGCAAAACAGCTGTAATTAATCGTGCACGTTCGCTGAGCTGATCTTTGAAGGAGAACACGCAAGTTTGCGATACGATCGATTGTAAGTTTGTCTTTTACGAAATTCTTTCGATGTTTATGGCATTTTATTCGGTTCTTTTTAATTCTATTTACCGGTTATTTACGTAAAATTTTGTTTTATGTTTTGTAAATTTCGTTTATACTTTAGGTTATAATTTCGTTATGAGTTTGTAAACTTTAATTTCTTTCTTCCTCTAATTTTTTAAAATTTGTTTGAATCTAGGTTAACATTTACATGACTTTTTGTGGGGAAGAAAATTTTAGTTTGATGTGAAAACTTAATTTAGTACTAAATTTTTCAAAACTGTAACATCAAAATTTTCAATACGGTCAAAGAATAGAATCCATTGGAATGATTTAAAGATTATGGAAAGTAAGTAAAATGATTCACGCGGAATAAGTTTGGTAAAAGGTGTTATAAATGTACAAACAGGTAGTAATAGTATCATTTAGGAATAATAAAGCGATCATGATAGTTTAATCATCTCTCAACAGCGATAATTGACTTTAATGCAGTTAATGGCAAGAAAATATGTGGAAGTTTAGAAAGCATGGTAACAGGTTGTAAGGAAGCGAAGAAAGTTGTATTCTATCTGTTCTAATAAATGATACACCTGCGATATGATTTACGATGACTGATTACGACACGTGACGAAAAATTTCAAATTCACGATCTACTTCGCAAATTTTTCCTTTATTTTTTTCACATATAAACTATTAATCGATAGTTTAAATGAAACGGTGTTTCTTGTGGATTATTGATCGAATTATTTTTAAGGATATTGCGCACATTGGTGAAAGCAAATCGTAGAGTCGAAAATCGCGATATGTGCAGCGGAAGAAAAGTATTAGAAGCTGATAGAAATCTAACAGAATTTGGTTCTACTTCAAGCGAAAACGTTTCGCTCTCAAACAAAATCATTTGTTTAAATAGTGTATACACTTTCACTTTGCTTGCTGGAAGTGCAATTTCAGGTTTCAAATAATGGATTTTTCTTGGATAATAACGGAAACAAGTGTAAAAATGTTGATATAAATTGTAACATTACAAAGTTAAGAAGGGAAGTGCACGAGTCTTGAAATGTAGATTGCGTTTAAAATTTACACAATTGTAGATGGTTTTGTT